CTTGGTCTCCAAACCCGAGGGGAAAATATTCATATACTCATGTTCTCAACAAATCCCTAATGGGGGTCACTGCTAGTCTTTGCATAAGGTGAACACAGACTGATAACCAACCCTGGCACCAGCCGATGATCGCTGAGACCAGACCCGCCCCTCTGGACTGGTGTTCACCCTCCATCGCTTTAGCGGAGGATAACATAGGACTATCCTGATAGAAAGGTTCTGCCAGTATTTAATCACACTTCTCTGGCTGGAAGAGGGATTTTTATCCTAAACGTGGGGACAAAGTGTGCCTGAATTGAAACTGACATTGACTGTCCTGTTTCAACTCTCAAATGTTGTACCCTGTTGTGTGGCCGCTGCAGGGTTTTTCTCCAGAACATTCCGCAGATGCGTAAGTGTGAGAAAGTTACTTAAAAGCAGGACACACACACAAAAAAACAATGCCCCAAATACTGTGGAACAGCAAGTGAAGGAAATTTGCTCTGTGGTGGCTAAACTTAATCCAAATAAACCTCTCCTTAGAGGCAGTCAAGCAGCAATACCCAGACTGTCTGTGACAATAAACACACGAGTTAATTACTGCAGCTCAGCTCAACACAGCTGCCCAACAGCTCCTTAAGCAGTTATTTTGTGGCGAGTTGTGATAGATATTTCTATACTGTTTATCATCCCTTGCTCTGTCTTAATCTCTTACTGCCTGATGACTGCATTTAATGGTAAGGACAATGCTTAGTATTCATGAATCAGTCACAACAGAACGGCCGGGACAAGGGGACTGGTGCTTGGGCCTATTATCTTTACAAATCCTCAAATTTTTAATGTGATTCAAGTCGATTCCCTTGGAAACCACGAGATTGGCCGTGACTAGCAAATGGGCATGACCTGGATAATGATTCCCTCTGTCTGGGGCCCCGGCTACCTGCTGTCCTATACAAATAGCTCCGTTCTAAATCACTTTAGCTTCTGGAATAGCTTAAGGGACAAAGAGGGCTTCTGTGTATGTGTTAGATGTAGGCTGAAGCTGTTGGACCGAGCGAATGGATACATATGGATTGTCACATTCCTGAAAGACAGCAGAAAGGAGGCAGAGGATTTTTCAAGTTGGAAAGCGGGTGTGGAAAGCAGTCACTGGAAGTCGTCTTTCTCCCTCTTCCCTGCCCTCTCACGCTCCTAGATTTCTGGTGACACACCCTGGGGCAGCTCCCTCTACCTTTTGACTGTAGGACATGAATTCAAATGACTACGAGGAGGAAGGAAAAGGAAACCAATTTTCTTGATGTCTGTTTTTCGTTAGGCATTAAAGTAACATGATTCATTATTTCATTTAATTATCGCACCAAATCTACAAAATGAAAACACTCTGAGCATAAACGCAAGGAAAGAGGGGCTCAAATGAATTAATGATTTGCCCAAGAGACAAGTCAGAGTCTGTCTTGTCACAGAAACATTTGGTGACAGAGCTGAGACGAGCACTTGGGGATGGCTGAGTCTGTGACTTCCACTAAATCCTGCTCACCAAGATTGAGTTTGAAAGCTTGCACTTTCCACAACAATCCACAGTTGGCAAGAACCCTGTCCCAGAAGGTCCTCTCCAGGGGTGGTGTGTTTGAGCCATTTTTAGGTCCTGTAACCTGGAAGTTCTGGAGGGAACAGGCCACTCTCACTCTTGACAACGTGTTAGTTTCAAAGCTCTGAATAATTTCCATATAGAAATACCAGTATGCATGGTGTCTGGCTTCTTAGTCTATACAGCCTCTTAGTTTATAAACTACTGGAGGGCAGTGCTAATCATGCTATGGGGTCAATGAATGACAGAATTTCCAGAATTTCCTGCCTAGGCTTAGTTCATTTGGATAGGTGTTTATCGCTGCAGAGCCTACCAAAGATCTGGGCCAAGGGGTGGAGAGAAAACGGCCATTCTCTGCTCTGGTATGTGATTGGTCTGGCGTCTGCCTGTCACCAAGGACTCACCAATGGGGTTCCTCCCGGAAGGGGTGGATGGGAAGTAGGGAGCACCCAAGCGGTGGAGCATGAGCCCCGGCCTGAGGAGATGGACAGTGCTGAGCCTGGCCAGCAAATTCAAGCAAACTGTGAGCAATAAAAATGGTTTGTCCCAACCTACCCTTTCCCTTGACTTACTTTGATTTCACCGGTTTCATAGCAGATTTGCCCCAGGCTGGGAACACCCTTCCTCCTGGAGCTACGCGTGCCTCAGAAGCTAACTACCCTGTGATGATGTGTCTGGAAAAAGAAGTTTCTTGTGATCTCAGAAACACATTTCTCCTTATTTAAGTGAAACTGGGCGTTATCCCAGCTCCAGCTATCGGTGATTTCCACGCCCACACAGGAAGTGGTGACCTCAGCAAAATGGAGCTCATGAGGGCGTGGAGTCAAATGAGCAGTGGCGGGCCCTCCGGTGGGGTATGTGAAGGCTTGGAGCTCACGGACAGCAGGGCGACGAGTGAGCTGAAGACCGGGGTCCCCAGGCCCCCAAATGGAGCTGCAGGGCCAAGGGTCCACATCCAGCAACCTTGAGGCTGTAGCTCAGCCCCATGTCAGTCCTAGATTTCTTCTCTTTGATACGAATAAAGCTCCTCTTCAAATGACAAACAAGATCCCCTAAGACCTGGCCTTTACCCTTTTCTCTACCTGCATCTCTTAGCACCCCTACCTGCCTGTTTCATTCATACCAGCCTGAACTTCTGGCAGCTCCCTGTGTGCATCCTGGTGCCTCAAGCTTCAGAATAGCTGCTCACGCTGTTCCCTCTGCCCAGAAGGCTGATCTTCAGGGTTTCCTGTTTTGTTAACTCTTGCTCCTTGTCTAAGACTCAGCTCAGAATGATCTCATGAAGCTCTGCTTGACCCTCGCGCCCCTGCCGGGTTGGGATGTGTCCTCCTCTGTGCTCTGTTGTGCAACCCTTGTCAACATCTTTTAAAAATTTTTTATTGTAATATTATATTGCAGCCATTTATATGTGTGTCTTCCCTGGCTTCACATTACTGCAAGCTTCTGAGGAAGGGCCATGGCTCATTCTTTTGACATCCTGGCACCTACCATAATTCCTGGTAAGAATTCAAATGTATGTTGGATTGAACTACGACTGTGTCCCTAAAACTGTCTTATAGTGGATGTCCCTTTGGACGGAGGCACTTATTCCCCCACTGCTGGTGGTGTAGTCTGCTGTGAGTCCCTCCTAAGAACTGCCTTCTGCCAAGTGGGGCTGCTATGCTCAGAGTTACATGCCTTCCCCAGGGGCTGCCAATAGCCAGTGGTGGGGGTGCAAAAGCCTGGGTCCCTTGCTCTGAAGGGCCACACCAACTTCAGAACCCTTGCGGGCTTGCCAAGGCTTCTATGGTACCGACATCACAGTGCACCTGGCTCTCAGCCAGCCCCCTCACCCCCTTACAGGGGTGCTTCCCGAAGCACTCTTCAATAAACCTCAGTCTGTTCCTGGGAAAAACCCAGCTCACCACGGCCTGTCGCTTCTACCAGGCCTTTCCCTGCTGCCCTATAAAACAATGCATTTTCCTTACTATTTGACATTAGAAGCAAGTGTTCTTTCCTGAGGGTTTTGTTGTTAGTTTTTTGGAACAGTAAATACACGGGACTTAAAAAGCTTCCTTCATTTCTTCTGCAAAGATTCCACTTTACCACCTCTCTGCCCCATGTCCCTTATTTCACCTGATAGACCCAATGGGAAGGATTGGAGTGCACCAAGGTGTTTGTAATGGTGAATTTTACTGTGGATAAAGAACTCAAGAGAAGATGAGGCAACATTTCAGAGGAAAGCTCGGTCATTGGCCATCCTGGGTAGTTCACTGCAGGAGCTGAGGTGAGGTTAGGATGAGGAGACCGTGGTGCATGGTGGGGACATGAAGTGGCCACAGGGGCTTTTGCTCGCTTACCCTACTTGCCCTACTCTTGGACATGAGAACATACCTGGGGGACTCAGCCCAGCCTCAGAGTGTGGGCAGCTTTTCTGAGGGCATGATGTTTACACTGGCGGCCGGCAGAGGACCAACAGAGACCTTCCCTGAGATGATGCAAAAAGGAGGTGGATATGGGCATTCCTGGAAGGACCACCTTCTGGGAGGAAGAACAAGGAAATTCCAGGCAGCTGTGGGGACTTGAGTAAAAAGGATCCTCAGGGCCACCTGGCTGCGGTGGCAGCTCAGGAAGGACATCCGACTCCAGGACTCTAAGTGAGGGGAATGACGTGAAGGTCCATCTGTGTTATCAAAATTAAAAGGTTACTTGGCAAAATGCCTTTATTACCTTAATGCTGCTGCTTTTCCTAGGCTTTTTTCCTTTTTCCAGTTGAAGCAGATAGCCTTCGGAATTGCTACGACTCATTTTCATTTGGTTTCTTTGGCTTCTCTCTGGACCGAGGTGGGATTCACTTTCTACCCTGGACAATATAGGTGGAAACGTGACGCCAGGTAAGGCCCCTTCACTGGGCTGCACCTCAGTCAGGTGCATTAAGGCTCGCTGGTGTTGCTCCATAATCTGCGTGAGCTGCAAATCTGGAGAAGCTCCTACAGGTTGGCTGTCAGAGGAAGAATGGAATTTCCTGAAAGGAAAAACACACACATACAAATCTGTTAATAAAACTTAGATATATAAGACTTCTAGCATAAAAGTCTTTATGAATTGGATGTACTTATCATTCCCCACATCAAATGAATAAACTTTAGCTTAACCTTTTTATAAATATATTAGTTTCTTTTCTTAAATTCCTCCTGTTTTTTTTCTTTTAGATATTCTAGCTCTTATTTAGAACTTTCACTCAGTGCATTCAGAATAGGAAAACCCACCATTTTTGAAAAAACTCAAAGACTTTCCCACTACAAAATACCTGAAAATGTTGGAGTAACTTAAATGTCCTTTAAAATAGTTGAATTTGTAAGTGAAGCAGGGACTCTTCACAGAGCAAAAACAAATGTGAATTAAGACTAAAGCAGATTTTGGACAAAGCTGAAGCTATCTATGTCTCTTTGTGGGAGTTTTGGACCCAACGGCTTGAGTCCTAACATTTAACACTGGGATGGGATATGTGAGATCTTGGCCATGTGTGGGGCAGGAAATCAAACTGAGATGCCTGTATAAAGGTTGTGACCCGGGATGAGCTACATCCTCAGTAAAAGGGTAGATTAGTGAAAAACTCAGTTTCCAGCCATGAGAAACAACAGCATACCTCCCTGTCTTGGTCCAAATTGGAAAAAAAAATTTCCCATGAATTTCTATTCAGGATTCAAATTTACCTTATGCACATACTCATGGAAATCCAACACCAGGAAATTAACATAAAAATGATCCTGAAGAAGGAATACTTCTCTGTATGTGGCAGAAGCAAATATAAAAATTATCTGGAGGGATATACTCTTATCTAAACCTGCCTAGGTTTCTACAGACAAGATGGCTGAACATAAGCTCACAATCCAAAATTCTAGAACATATGAGGAAAGACTGTACCAAGTATGAGAGTCGGCAGACACGCGCACACCCTCAAAGGAGGAGATTTCTAAGAACTTCAGATAATAGAATATTAGTATTCATAAAGTAAGCATAAAGACATGAAAGAAGAAATCAAAGCCCTGAGAAACATTTTTAAAGAAAGAACTGGAAGGTTTTAATCAGGACTAAACAGAAATGGAAGATATAAAAAATAACATCGTTGAAATTTACACCTCAGTGGGTTGATCAAGAGCATATTGGACACAGCTGAAGAGAGTTATAACACTGGAAAACTTACTGGAGGAAATTTCTCAGAAACACAGAGGTAAAAGACGGAATATAAGTTAAAAAGACATGGAGTCTAGAGTAACACAATCTAATATACATTTATTTGGTGTTCCTGGAGGAACAGTAGAGCAAATTTGGGAAATATAATATTCAAAGGGGAAATGGGTAATAACTTTTCAGAAGTTGAAAGAAATGAATCTTCAGATTAAAGGATCAAAGAAGAATCACAAACAAGATGAAAAGTTTCATATCAGTGAGATATGACATTTCAATGAGACTGCAGAACACCAAAAACAAAGAAGAGACCTTAAAACCAACAAGAGGAAAAAAAAAAAGACAAAAACAAAAGGAATAATAATTATATTGACAAAAGATTTTTCAAAAAAACACAGAAACAGGGATAAAAAATGATGTTTTTAAGGAGTTTATTTACCAAGTTAAACTATAGTTCAAGATCAGAGAGTAAAGGAATTTCAGTTAAGTTTACCAGTGACACATACTTGCTGAGAGCCTGTCAATTGCCTACTTCAGGAAAAAAGAATGTTAGTCAGAAGACATTGATTAAATAATTAGTTAAATCTAAAACATCATTGACTATATATAACAATAATAAAAGCAATTAATTTTAGAGATAGTGCTGGACAAAATGTTGGGCAAAAATAATTATAATAGGTGGTTTAGAACAGCCCATTGGTTCTGAATATGTTCTGGAGGAGAATAAAAATATTAATTGAACACTGGGCTAGTTAAGTATGCAAGTTAAAAGAAATAGATAACATGTATTTCCAACTTAGAGGAAAAAAGTAACAAAGAATTCTATCAGTTCAATAGAAGATATTTCTAAAAAAAGTATACAGAAAAATAGAGTGATTAGAAAGGGCAAACTAAGATAGTAGAAATAAATCCAAATATATGAGTAACACAGTAAGTGTAAATTGTTTCAAGTTGAAAATCTCCCCACAAACAACAAAGCAAAGCCAGACACACATGACATAGTTTTACAGAAAAATTCCATGAAACCTTCAAGTAATAGATAATTCTAATTGTATATAAAAAATTTATATCCAGGGAATGTAAAATGGGGGAGTATGCCCCAACTTATTTTATAAGGCTGGTATAGTCTTGATAACATATCTAGACAGGGCCAGGAACAATAGGACGATTTTAAGCCAGGCTTACTTCATGCATGTCAATGTTAAATCCACAAATTTGATTTGTGCTAACAAATCAAATCAACTTATTAAAAATACAGTACAAGTCGAGTTAATCCTAGGAAGAAAAGGATGGTGTAACATTAGGAAATCTGTTAATATATTTAGCCACATTAAAGGACTAAAGGAAAATTTTTAATTGGTGCAGAAAAAAATATTTGATACAGTTCTTGTTTTTGAGGAAAGTTCTTTACAAATAGAATAGGAATAGGAGTAAATTTCCTATCTCCCCTCCTTAGCTACCAAAATTAAATATTATTTCTAAACGTAAAGTTGTTAGTACTCCAAGGTCAGGAAAAAAAGACAAGGATGCCTACCATCTATCACTATCTCTTCTAGAAAGTGAACTCTGATTCCATTTATATGAACTTCTTACATATATGGAATGTATGTTCCATACTTCCGGGTGGCATATAAATGTCTTCTGATCAGTTCACATGTGTAAAACATCTCCCTACTTTGAATGGTACCTACCATGCATCACACTACTCGTGTATCTTCTCTAGAACCAGAGCATTTTTTATTCAGCACATATCAGGTGTGCAATAAACACATTTGATTAAATGGCATTAAGAAATGTCCCCTGAAGGGATCTTGTAAATAACTCTTTTTTTATGATTATAGAAGTAATACACCTACATTATAGGAACTTGAGCAATTCAGAAAGTATGAATAAAAAATTAAAAATAACGCCAATGTCTCTTGCCAGACATAACCACTAATGACATTTTGGTGCATGTCTCTTCTGTACACATTTTAGCATAGTAGGTCTCCTTACATGTAATTTTATACCTTACCATTTTCTTCTTGCAGAAGCATTTCCTCATAACCAGAATTTTTTCATGGTTACATGATTTGGATATCATAATCTACCTAAACATTTCTGTATAGTTGGTTTTGTGTTGTCATTTCTGTAAATGATATTTTTGTGCAGACATATTTTTCTGTGTTTTAGATTATTTTCTTAGGATAGGCCATGACAGTATTGCAGACAATTTGTTTCCTCCAGACATTACTTGTAACTCAAAATATACTCAAAATAAACTGATCTTTTTTGAATGGGTTCCTCTGTCTGGGGGTCTCCTTCCTATTTTTGATTTAACTACAGTGGGAAAAATAGAGGAGACAGGGAAAAAGAAAAGAAATGTGTCAAAAGTGGATTATTTCAGGCAGAAACCAGAGCTAATGACATTGTTAGGTGGCTTTCTCCTCACCCATGAACCCCCTTTCCACCCTCCCTCTCCTGTCTGTCTCCGGCAGTTTCTTATTTCTCTAGAAAACCCCTTGAGAAAAGGGAATTCTTACCATAATATTTCTAAATTCTTATACTTTGTCTCAGAATAAGTCTGTTTGGGTTGCTTCTTATTTTCAGTCGATCCACTGCCATTGATGCTGGACACAGAATGCAAGCCCTTCCGGCTCAGGGGCACCTGTCTCTTAGGAAATTCATTAACGTAGTTCAAGTCCATGTTGGAAAGAGTGTTGATGTGTGGCTGCTCGTATGAAAATCTTTTCTCTTCTTGGTCTTTATGTCCTCTTTCTGTATTACCATTCATCACCGAGTGATAACCAGCAGAGTTTTTATGTAATGCCTTGTCAGAAGCCTGTGGTGGTGGAATGAATTTACTGGAGGTGACTTTGGGATTCTGGCTCTGGAGAGCACGTGAGAACTGCAAGTCATTGCGAGGGGCATTCATGATCACGATTGTTTCATGCTTTACGGAAGTATCAGTAGGCTTATTTTGATTTTGTTGCTGTCTGGGAGTGCTGTTCTGGTTTCCTTTGCTGACCACCAGCTCTTCAGTCACCAAAGACTTCAGGCCAGGCTGGTGTTTATGCAGTTTTTGGATCTTGTGCTTGGCTGGTCTTCTGGAAGGTTGCTGGCCGTTGCTAGGTTCAGATGACTGCTCTCTTGATAGTACACTGCTTGATTTTGCAGTTTCATATTGAGACCAGGGTTCCTGGTAATCCTAAACAAAATACTTTTGGTTAATGTAAAGTTAAAAGGTTGGCACTCTTCACAAATTTTAAATTAATGTTTTCCAAACTGGGAGTGGAGACTTCTGGAAGGTGTCCACAGACTTAAAAAAGACATGCAAAGAGTTCAGAGGGTCCTTTCCAAATTTCAGGCAATGTGAGGGTGATTCTTCCTGGCAATTTCAGATGGTGGACGTTCTAGAAGAAATAGAGCACTTAGAATGGGCTTCATATTCAGGGCAGGTTTTTGACTTAAAAGGTCATAAAATGAAATGTGACCAAATGAGAAAATGAAGCTTTACCTCTAAAGAGCTGCATCCAGAGAAAGTGCAAGTCTACATCAAAATGTGCAAGCTTATTTTAACTAGACGAATGTTTTTAAAAAATCTGAACTAGAAAGAACATTCGTGATTTGGCTTACCCAACAGCCAAGTACAATTTAGTATGAAATACAATTCAGATTATCAAGGTTTATTACTCATATAGGTTAGAAGCTAGAAATGATCTCTTCAGATGAGACAAATTAGATTTTATTCAGGGGATTATAAAATTGTCTCTGCTGTGATATGACATCTATGAAACCACAAGAGTTGTTTTGCTTCTGTTCCTTAATGTGGCCTGCACTTAGGCAATCAAACATCTGCGGGAAACATTTCAATTTCTGAAGTCTTTATGCTTTTCAAATTCTTGTAACAATAAAATGTACTCCTGGTATAATAGATACACTATGTATCTAGGTTGTGCTAAGCCAGTTAGACGTATTTTCCAAGGAATAAAGCACTCATTTCTTTGTGAAAAACTATCTGAGTCAAGAGGCCTTTGGAAAGAATGATTAAATGCTTACTTGCAACAGTAAAATGATGATATGCATCAGTGGATTATAGTTCTTCCTTTCGGAAGACAAATGTAAAAAGACCTCTGTGGCCTGTATCTGTACAATGTTAATTGAAAAATGCAGGTTCCCTTAGTCATTTGAGAAAAAATTCTGGAAGTGAACAAACCCTGGTTTTGCTCATACTGTTGTAGCTTTGCTATGGAGAATGATCAAATTACTGCAATGAGTTCAAACTTGCCTTACACTTTTCCGATATAATGGCTAGGACTCCTCTTAAATGACTATTTCTATAAATTTCTATAAATAAATGGTTTTCTAATTCTAATGAAATCTCATCATGATAAGATTGAGATTACATTTAAAACAGTAATACACAATATTACTGTTTATATGAGATTTTTAAGTAAGAATGGCTTATCATTTGAACTTCAGAGTATGTTCTCCTTAGAATTTGAGCTTTCTGAAGGATTGGCAGGTTCTGGTTAGCATCCCTAAACTTTGAATTTTTACCTGAAGTGCTCTAAAAAAGAAAAATTTCCTTTTCTGTATTTCAGTTAAAAAAGGTTCTACCTTCCATGCAGTCTGAGCTGCATAGGGGAAACGTGGGCAGGAAGGTTCTGCAAATAGATAAGCCCTGGAGCACCCTTCCCTGTAGAATGTCCAGACAAAAAATGTTTACTTTATAATCTGATAGGTATATTCATGAAACACAGTAGCTCTTTCCATGGCTGTCATTACTGTTCATGAAGGCCAAAAAAGAGCCACCTTTGCTAAGATCTGAAGTACTGATGCTGAGAATGTCATTTTTTTTTCAATATTTGTACGGCCTTCTAATTGCTAGAAAAATAAGTGACCAGGAACTCTTTTTCTGCTGCCACCCACCTGTACATGTCCCAGCTGTCTCTTCATTCCCACCATAAAAGAAAACAACCTATCAGGAAATTTTTTCCCTTGGGCACCAGCCCTGAAATCTTGGTTACCACTTGGTTTTAATCACGTTACACCTTTGCTGCTGACAGTTCAGATTACAATAATTCCCTTCACAGGGCACTTTGTCAACAAGGCCAAGGACCCATCATTTTATGAAATTTCAATTGTCTCAAGTGTTAAATCCGCTATTCATATAAATATAAGTGCCCAGAGATGGCATTTCAGTCCCCAGAAAGGAAGGTATTTATGGGCTTGATGTGATTTCTCTCACCTCCCAAGCAGGCTACTTGAGACCTGTGGTTTACTGAAGATTTATTTCCCTATAATTGAGGCATCAGGTGTCACTTTTTAGGTGGCAAGACCGGAGTTCCCTGAAGTTAATATACAAAGCCATTCTCAGGCTATTTAATCTCCATCAGCACAGAGATCTTCTATTTCATCTCGCTCTCACTGGGGTTCTTTTGTTATCAACACTCACAATCAGTCCACACTCTGCACACTCAGAATAACTGCTTAATGGCCGTAGGTTTTCCGGGCACACACAGAGCAGGGTACTTTGCCTGGAGCGTTAGCATCAGGGAATCTTGATGCCTAATGCCGGGATGGTAATTTCTTAGTAAGACCCATTCTTAGTTATTAATGTTCTTTCGTACTGTGCCATCCTAGGGAAGTTTGCCCCCGGCCCTCAAAAGGCAGCGTCCAGCTGTTCACAGCTTTTGTCTGCATAAGGAGAGGGGCGATAGCATGCTCTGATCTCGACCAAGAAATTTGCCTGCTGCAAAACAAAAGCCATTCTTGCTCAATTAGTTATACTCTGATGAGCCCTGGAGTTCTGATCAACCCTTGACCTGGGCTCCAAGATCAGCTCTGATATAGAGAAGTTTCTGTGTGTTTATTAACAATACGACACGAGTACCTTGAGCTTGGGTTTTTAATTCCACCAGATAGTACTAAGGAAATTTAGAGCACACTTATTAACCGGCTCTAACTTTCAGCATCAGGAAGGAAGGACTCTCTGTTCAGATGGATAAGAGAAGCACAGCTCTGTTGATAGCGTTGGAGGTAAAACCAAATTAGTAGCTCTTGGAAAGGTGGGAAGATTACTTAGGATGTGATTATAAGGACTTTAACTAGTCTAAAATCCTACACACCTTTCACACTATCATTCCTTTTCCTTCCCTAGAAAACTGAGTTAACAGTGGCAAGAAAGATAAAAATTCTATTTCATCCTTTTGAAGCTTTACTTAATTGGGGAACATTTTATTTGGTCTATGGACAACATGCTCCTTGCCTGGGACGGGGCTTCTGCTGCCAGGCGTGTGCTCCTTCACACTGGTTAACAAGGGTCAGCCCCTAGGCTAAGCACTGTGTCCAGTTCTGGGTACACAGAGGCAGTGGGGTATGGAAAACCCTGAGAAGACTCGTGGGAGAGCACACAATGATTCAGGACAAGACCTATGTGGAAAGGTAAAGCGGGACTGACTGCTTGGCTTGAAGTAAAGACTTCAGGCATCTGTGAGATGCTTACGGAGAAGAAGGTGATGGCCGTACATTCTCGGTGTTTCTAAATTGAAAATTCATAGGCTTAAATTGTCTCACAGGCCTTGTTTCCAGCATATCTTCTTTCTTTTTTTGCCCTGTCTCTAGTTTCTCATTCTTTCCAGTATGTAAATGTGTTTAAGTTTCTAGGAAGAAAAATGAAAGATTCCCTCACTCGATCTCATTCTCCGGTTAAACCTCATCTCTTAATGCACAGCCACGCATCCTGAGGGTGCAGGCCGCGCTGGGCCTCACCTCCCCACCCCGCATTCTGACCTCTGCACCCTGCAGTCCAGTGCTTCTTGGCACCCCTTGCCCCCCCGACAGCTGCTCTGCTCAGGCTGCCAGTAGCCTCCTAGATGCTAGATCCATGGGCCCCTTTTTCTTTAACATTTTGGTTTTTTTCAAGCTTACAAAATTATTTCCAACTTAGCGAAAAATGGCAAGAATAGCACAGAGAGCTCCTAAGTATTCTTAGCAAGACTCACCAATTTTTAATATTTTGCCACTTTTCTTCATTGTCTTCCCATATGTGGACAGATGGGCACACAGGCACACATAGATAATATTTCTATGAATATCATTTGTATTATTATCATTTAAAAAAATCATTTGACACTGCACATATGAGTTGGACATATCATTCCATTTTCAGGGCACCTTTTTACTTGTCTTCTCCGCAGAATGTGACCCTGTTCACTGTTCTCTTTCCTCATATTTTCATGCCTCAGGTTCCTCGGCAGTTTCTTCCCGGGCAGCTTTCTACCTCACTGGGAATCCCGTCAGTCTCTCCTCTTCTGCTCTCTGCGTCTACCTCTGCTCACCCTTAAAATTCTACCACTCTCTGCTGAGCCCTATCCTTGACCCTCTTCTCTTCTCCCACTCCCACACCTGGGGCATGGCAGCAATTCCTGTAGCTCCAGCCCCCCCGGTGAGCTCTTACGATGCAAGGGTGCATGTTCACTCGCCCGTCCCTCCTGATTCTGTGCCCCAACCTGGTTGTGTCATTAACCTGCTTAAAATTTGCCAATGGCTTCATGATATCCACAGGAGAAAATACGAACTCTTTTGAGGAACAGACAGAAAGCCTTTCACAGCTCCTACCTCTTGCTAATCTGTGCAGCCCCACTTCACAGCACCCCCCAAATCCTTTCTCCTTTAGCTATGGAACCATATGTGAGACTCCGAACACACCACATTCTCTTGTTTTTCCATACTTCGCTCCCATTTGTCTGCTTGACATATTCTGATTCGTCCTTCTAAGGTCAGCTCAAATGCTATCTCCTTTTGGGAGATTTCTCTGTTTTTTTAAGGCAGAATAGGTGCTCTTTTAGTCCCACTGTATAAAACTCACTTTCATATTATTGTATTCTAATGATTATATAACTGTCTTCCTTCTAAACTCTGTAGCTGTCTTCCCACCTTGAGCTCCTCAGGGGTAGGGGACATTATTATTTTTTCTTTTAAAGAAAAGTTTCATCAAGTTTTATCTATTTTTTCAAGGTTTTTTTTTTGTTCTTTTTTTAAAACCATGTCTATGGTCCAGGCACCTAGCCCCCAGTGCCTGGACTACAGTAAGTACTCAGCAAATATTTTTGTGTGAATTGTTTTGATTTCATGCAAAGATATTTCTCATCAATGAGAGCTTTCTTTAGGTTTACTTAGGGATATTAGAGTCTTTTAAAATCATCTTTTGAGAAAGAAATTTCAAATGGGGCCCATTTTCCCTTGAAAGACTTTTAAATGTTTTTCTTAAATCAAGCAGTACATATTTGTTGAGCATCAGCTTCAGGCAAAGGATTGTGTTACGAGATAGAAAACAACAGTCCTCACATTCAAGGAGCTTATGGTATGGCTGGTACAAAAGAAATACAGGGAGAAGTTAATAGGACATGGAAGTGGCCCAGACCACAGGCAAGACAGGAGTGAGAGGGGGCATGGGACAGGGAGGGAGAGGCTGGGGCATCCTCATGTGGGGAGAAGGCATCAGATCTGGGCAGCTGAAGAGGAAAAAGAAGGGCGATCTGGAGTGTCTGCCTGCTGAGTGCCAGGCCAGGGGGTGGGGTGCAAATCCTTTCTGAATAGAGAAAGGGAAACATCCCTTGGGCCACCCTGTGGTGCTGTCATGTCAGCTCTAACAGTCTTTAGCTGCTTGGCTTCTTCTTGTCTTCATTCAGCAGTGGGTTGTAAACAGAGTTCTAGCACACGCAGAATAAACAGCAGTCTGCAGCTTTTCCTATTTTCTTCCATACAAAGATTTTCCTGGCCCTGTCTAGGGCCCTGCATGAACCAAGCTCTGTAATTTTATTTTATCACTGGCTGAGAATCCTACAGTTTTCTGTAGTGACTATCATACAAGCTATAGGTTGTAAGAGCCTTAGGTGCTTCAAATGTGTTTTCTATAATAATTTAAGTAACTAGAGGTAAATGTCACTGAATCATAGATAGCATTTTGCAGCTTGTAATTCATTTTGGCCAACACTTCATTTAGTAAGGAAGAAACTGAATTTTGGAGGAAGTTGAGATTTGCCCAAAGTTATGCACCAAGTGAAGGGCAGGTGAAGGCTCAGAAACTCATGTCTTCTGACCCAGCCCATCACCCGTAGTACACGCCAAGCCTCCAGGGGTATCCTTGTCATCTCCATCCCGTTGTGCCGGCATCCTGGGCTCTTATCAGGTCTGCTCGTAGGCCGGTCCTTTACATCCCAGTCCCACGAGACATCAGTCCCCATCCCTCAGCCTCTGGGTGTGGTCTCCCTGGCATCAGCTTTCAGGAAGCTCTGGGTGAACGATTGTTTTCTTTCTTTTTCTTGTAACTTTAAGACTGGCCTGGAGGCCATGTGTAGCGGGAAGAAGATGATTTGGGTGGCCCCTCATTTCTAACTTCTCTGAACCTTGAATGAACTTTATTTTTCATATGACTTTGACCACCGTGCATAGTTTTAACTGATGATGTCAGCAGGCTCTGGAGGCTAGGTGATTTCAGAGGGCTCATCCTGCCGAAGCAGGGATATAGCCTGGTGCAAGACTGCCTGCCTCACACAACTCCACACACACGGTCAAGAAGAAATGAGCTGCTAGTGCCTTTCTCTTTCTTCTAGAAAAATAGTCAGTGGGGACAGTTTCACAAAAATCTCCCCTAAAACCACATTATGATTTCAAAGTAGTAAACCCATAGGCCAGAAAAAAGGATGTCATGCTCAATTATTAGGTACTAGGCTTTCACATTCTGCAAATGAGCGTTCAGTGTGGGATGCTGGGGATTCCTACTTTTTTTTAGGATCATGTTCCCTGTCACCTAGAGACACCCTGGAACCATCAAGTCCAAAAGGAAACAGACTTGGGAACAGCCCAGAGTTGGGCCAGATTTTGGAACTGTGTCTTTCCCCCCCTGCACTTTCTCCATGCATTTCTGTGTGGGATTTTAACTCTAAATGTTTGAAGAGGGATATGATGAATTTCCTCTAGAAAAGAGAACCTTGGAAGAAAATAGTAGGATTGGCTGGCTAAGCAAGCAGTGCCCATCTGGGCAGAAGCCAGGCTTACCCATCAAAGGATGGGTAACTGTTCTCAGATGTACGAATAAACCCTTAAGTGATAAGAAGTCAGTCATGAGCATTACTTATATTCAGCAGTAACCCTTGAAACACAGTTAACATTCAGCCTAGCAGGTAACCTTTAGCTGTTGGGCTCCATCGTGCCATCGGTCTTCAAGACGGGCAGCAGCCTTCTCAGTCTCTCTGGCATTCTGAATAGACATCTTGGCAGTTACTTTGATGGGGTAGGAAATCTAAGAGGGTAAAACATATATAACATGTTACCTGGATCCCTGTTAGTCTGAGAGCCATAGACTCAAGTCTGTACTCTGGAAAGAGGTCTTGCAGGCATTTCATTTTATTTTTACTTCCCAAGGAAAATGGGAATCAACGCTGTTTTCTCTTTTAGTCATGATGTGAGAATTGGTGCGCTGAGGTCAAACTATTAATTACTTTAAATGCTCAACATAGGGGACCCAGTTTTAGACCAACTATTTGAACCGATATAGCAACTAAAGTTTGAGTATGTGGAAGGAAACAATGAATATTTGGAAATAACATTATAACATGGCTTTAACAACAATATTTAATGTGCATTGAATGTTCATGATGTGCCAGTCCTAAGCACATAGCATATGTCAGTTAATCCTCACCACAACCTTATCAGGTATGTACTATTATTATCCCTTTTATCTGCAAATGAGAAAATTGAGGGACAGAAAGATTAAGTAACTTTCTCAGGATCAATAGCTAGTAAGTGGAGGACACAGGAAGTCTTAACTCAGAGCCTGCCCACCTAACGCATTTGCTAAACTAGCTCACTTAGAAATATCATCTTTGACTTGCAGAATCTGTAGCTTCGGCACTCAATGAATTCGCATGCTATAGATCAGTGGTTTGTGGCTTCAGATATTAGAATAACAAGATATCGGTTCCCTAGTCCCATCCAAGACCAATTAAATCAGGAATTCTAAGGATGGCCCCACATGTCAATATGCTTTTTTAAAAGCTTCCCAGGTGGATCTAATCTGCATCCAGGTTTGGGAGCCACTGATGAAGGCAGCTATGTGGGACTTAGGTCCCCAAATTATTCATGGGATTTAGGTCCCCAAGTTATGGAGGCTTTTCATTGGCTCCATTAGCTGCCAGTTTTAAATCAAGAAATTAGATTGTCTCTCTGCCGTGTGGCCTTCTAGCCATCAGGTAGTGTTTCAGAAAGCGAAGGTACATTTATACAGTCTTACTGCTGGTCAGAGATCCTGGATGCAATCCAGTATAAGCTCTAGTACACCTGTCCCATCCCCAGGAAATGTCCATTCCCTCCTGCCTAAACACGTGCTCTCCTGCTGGCACGAGTTACCTGTCAGTGTTGGTATAAATTTAAAGACCTATAGGAAGAGAAATGGAATAAGGATATTCCAAGGAATAAGGCTTGTGGATATTCCCTTTCTGTTGGAGACCTGGTCCTTTCCACCATCCCTTGGGGGAAAATAGTACCTCTCTTCATCTCTGTTTCATGGATGAGGAGCATATTGTTCCATCACTGAGCAACCTAAATGCTATAAAGCTCTTCTTTATTAGAGCACAATGATGTCTTCCTGTGATTTCTATCCTGCCCTGTGAAATAGCACAGAATAAATCCATCTCAGACCATAGCCCTAAATGGTTAGAAGCTAAGGTGCCTTTCCTAAGCCTTTTCTTATTTGCAGGACCCACGGCCAGTCCTCCCAGGACGGGTTACTCAGTTTGGGCTCCGTGGGTCACTCTGCTTTGTCACCTAGAAATGCTGTTTCCCCGCTTTCTAGGTGGATAGAACTACTTTTGAAACTTAGATTCAGGATTTTACACTTGTTATTAAATTTCCCCTGGTGGGTTGTGTAGTGTGGACAGCAGGAAGCCACAACACTGGATAGTAAATAAGGTTTAGAATCTCTCATGTTGTGTTCAAATCCTCCTGCTGCTGCCTACCTTTACTTTGTATTTAGGTACTTAGTATTTAGGTACTTTGTATTTAGGTATTTAGGTCCGTTCAGCAGACAGGGACAACAATATTTGTTAAATACCAAGTAATAAACAAGTGTTTGACAATGAAGATAACCTCATTCCTTATCCCTCATTGTGTCTTCCCTGGCATAAGCAAGATAACATTTCTTTTGGGTGTAACCTGATCTCTAACTAAATACCTCCCCTATCACAATTACTGTATATATGTGTACTCATTTCTATATAGATAGAAAAGGCAAATAGATGGTGTAAAAGTTTAGATACAAGGATTCATCTGAAAATGGGAAAGCAGGAAAATAAAACGTTTTCATGCTTGAATTTTCACTGCTAAAATGAGGAGCCTAATGTATTATTTGATCATGGAATTTTTCTGATTAAAAGGAGACATAATCAACAGGTTTTCAATGATTACTCCACAAATGGAAAGCTTTGCACCACTGTGAAACAGGTGACCTTGTGCTGAAACAGAAATGCTGCTGCCCAAGGTCAGGAAGCGTGTCTCAGGCTTCCATCTCTTGGGCCCTCTCAGAGGACTGGTGCAAGAAACATTAAATGACACTGCAAATATTAGGTTTTACAACTTTTGTCATCATTATTGCACAGGTTCCAATCCCTCACTGCCACAATGTTAAAAAGGAAACAGAACTCATATACAAGAAAAAAATCAACTCTGTCCTGGAGGAGAAATGAAGGCCAAGAGAGCCCAAAAATCTAAACAGGCTCCCTAAGCAGGCAAAGAAATCATCCTTGTCCAAACCTCCGTCAGGCAATGCCTTGGACGGACTGTTACCTGGAGCCTGGGAGAAAGAGCAGGTGGGCTTATTGTTAGATCCACCACAAGGATGTTTGATTCCCTGGCTTTTGCAAAGGGCACTTGGTTTAGTTAATTCAGTTTTTCAGTGGCGATATTAATTGTTTGGTTCACAACGATGAGATTCCCTTGTATAACTCTGGTAAACAGTTTACGAATTAAAAAGACATTGTCCTGTGCTTCCTTCCCCCGAGAATGTGGGCCGTGCAGTATTTCCATCCACAAGGCTGTTTTGGTGGATCCCAGTGCCTGCATCTCCCCAGTGAGAGCCTCGGGGCCAGTAAAGCATACTTCTACATTATCTCTTTGAAAGTGGAATGGGACACAACCTTGGCCAGCTCTTTTTTTTTTTTTTGTGAACCATTCTATTAATACCAATCAAATTGAGAAAATGATCAAATGAAATTGCATTTTGAGCATCATAAGCTGTGTAATGTCTATTCTGTTAAATTGGGACCTATAATTGCTTCTCTACTGAAAAGATACAACAAAGACAGCAATCATGGCATGTCATTATCCCAGACTAGAAAACCGGCCTTTGCTGGGAGGACTTCAAAGGCTTGTGGTTCTCGAATTGCATTTGGCTGCTATTGATGAAGCGCAGGCAATCTTGATTAGGTGTTTACACTGAGGTAAGGCGCAGAGCAGAGAGCCCGAGTGCCTGGGTCTAGAGCCATTAAAAAATCGTACATTATGTTCCTTGCTTTGAAGTGAGGGTTTGTAGGTAGGAAAGCAACTCCAATTGAGTACAGCTGAGCTAGACTGGGCTGCTCCCTCTCTCAAAGAAACTCACCAGGTTCTTAGAGACTCAGCACCAAGGGAAAAAACAAAACAAAACAAAAAACCTGATGCTTTACCAAGAGCTGTATGTGAATTTGTGCATCTGCATAGACACACACTGAAACAAGCTTAAATACCGTTAATTCTGCAGTCACTGAAAGGTTTGCTCATTTTTTCCTGGATGTTGGTTTTTGTTACTGACCTTCTATGTAGATGTTGTGGGGAGCCCCACATTAGTTTATTAGTTTCTTTGTTATTCCTTGATGATAGTAACAAGCACATATCCAAATTACAATAGGCCAAAAAGTCTGATCTTCGAATGTAGCATCTGCTAACCATCATTCCAACACCTCTGTTACTGAATCCCTCTGTTTGGGGGCATGATTACTGGATTCAGTGGGTGTTGATTAACTGGGCTAGCGAGTGATCTGCACTATTAATTGTGTCCCATTGCTAATACATTTTTTCCTGTACCAGTCTCTGCCCGCTGACATCACTGCTGCCTGTATTTATACATGGCCAGGAGCACAGGCGGAGGCATGACAACACGGATAGCCTGTTGTCAGACTCCCACATGGATGTTTAGCACGGTTGTTTAAATTTTTTAGAATTTGGATTTCTATTAATTATTCAGCTATTTAGAGACAGAACACATAAAATGTTTTGGCTCTGCCATTGGCCACTTTCTCCATTCCTGCAGAACACCTCGTGATGTATTTAGCAAGTGTGTGGTCAGTAAGAATTTCATGATCCTGAAACCTCTGGATATATTATTTTTCGCATTCACTTTCTGTATACGATGTTTGAGCTTTGCGAAGCCCAAAACTAATTATGCCAGTCCCCTGTTTAAAGCCCTTCAGTGCTTTTCCACCAGCCTTGATCTCCAAAGGTCCAGAGGGCCCCGTGTCCTCTGCTTCCTTAACCCTGGCTCCTTGCTCTCCTCAGCTGTATTTTTGCAGTTCTGCCGCGGGGCCACATGCACCCTTCTCTCTGGTCCGTGCATAGTCCATTCTTCGCCTGGAAATGCCCCTTCGCCTTCCTTATTCTGCCCAGTCCCACTCACTGTTTCTGTTCCAGCCTTGGCTGAAAAATAACTTTCTCCAGGCAGCCTTCTTGATGCCTCAGAGGTTGTAGTAGGAGCGACTAAACTCTCGGCCTTAGTCTGTAGTACTTTCCCTCTCATAACAAGTGTCATCCTAGTAATTATGTTCCTTTCCCCTCTAGATTGTACATCCCATAAAGGCAGGAAAAAGGGACTCTCTGTGCAGGGCTGATGTGCCCTAACACTGCAGGGGTGCCCCTCACACAGGTGGCATGGTGGTTATGGATGTGCCTGGCACATATATGCTCCTAAGTATCGTTGAGGGAAAAGACCAATCACGTTGCTCATTGAACTGTCCATTTACACCAGACACATGTGATGTACTTGTGTACCTGGCTAGATCTGTGCTTTCTATCAAAACCAGGTAGCCACCGTCAACAAAATTAGGTGGAAAGTAGGCCCTCCTCCTCCACCCCTTGTCCTTGTTCTTGAGGCCCAGGCCCATTAGCCCTTCCTTCTCATCTGTAGTTCCCTCTTCTAGGAATGCTCTTTCCTCAAATATCTGCCTGGGGAGCTCTCCTCTCTCCTCCGCAACCTGGTTAGATGGTACGTACCCT